GATTATACGCTAATGAAAATATACCTATGAATATTTTATTCCATTTCTGACAATAGATCCTCCTAAATGTTGCACACTGGATGTTTAAAAGAAGGCTAGAATTGAGCCACACATGTAAACAGCAAGTGTTTAGGTCCAATTAACTTTATAAAAGTTTAACTTATAGCTAAATTATTCCTGTAAATCTATTACAATATGGCTTCGCTAAATCAAAAATGTCAGTCATCACGTACCTGAGAATAAACAGCATAGATGGCCACGAGGGTTGAAGGTAGGCCGATGCAAATGATGATGCATGTCACCATGTGCATTATGAACTGGAGTTTTTTATATTCATAATAATAATTCATATCTACATTATTGTAATATTCATAGTCAAAGCTGAAGTTGCTGTAATCATATATTATGTCCTGTGAGGTGTTGATGTAGAGATCTTCCATTCTTCACAGTGAAACCTGTTTGAGAGATCAGTTTATACAAACGAATCCAATTTTTACTTCTACCTAACATTCTATCAAGCACTGTTCAGTGATATCACTAAAATGCATAGTGCACACAAGTAGTACACATATAGTGTACTCAGTCGTATCAAATCAAACACTGCTGTCTTTTTAGTTTTATATATTCGCATAAATTTTCATGACTCTTTGCAGTTCTTATCATCACAACATATAAGAAAAAGGGAAATGTACCTTAGCTGCAAGAGCCACCTGAATGAGTTCCTTACACCAACGTCTGATGTGTTTCCCTCTGTATCCAAACAGTAAATGTGGTAAGTGATAACATGCACTAGGTTGCTGTTAATCTACATTCCTCTTATAAGGAAGTGTGAAATCCCCGCCCTTTCTGGCCCGAGTCAACTGCTTCATTCTGTTGTGGTTCAAGCATGAAAACTATGGTAAATATGAGTGATTATCATATATGCATTTCCTACATAAGTAGAAGTGTAGAGGAGCTGCTTTAAGTATCAAACACAGTAGTTTGACAGACAGTTTCACAGCAAAGCATCAAAATGTCCACTGACATTTCTTAATCCTCTCAGCACTGCAGCAAAATCCACTCTGATACTCATCCATGTGCTCAATATATTTAAAATCCCAAGAATCAAATTTCTTACACAGTCAGATCTAACATGTCAACATCATATTTTAAGGTTCAGTGTTTAACATCTATTGGAATATCTAGAATAATCTAATGGAAGAGCTAGTGCCCCATGTGCCAGGGCTGGGTTGTCGCTGCAGCAGCCATGAGTCCAACCTGTGGCCCTTTGCTGCCCTTTGTCATCTCTTCTCCCCCTCCTACTTTCATGTCTATCTTCCTATTTCCTGAAAACAGAACTAAGTCCTAGACATGACATAATGAAGTATAAATAGTGTGTGGGTTATATGTTGTGATGTGCATGTATTGACAAAGTCTTCAAGAAAAACCACACAGAAAGAGAAAAATATGAAATTTACATTGGTGTAACTCACTGAAACTACACAGATAAAGAAATTGTTACATTCCAATTCAATGAATCTGATTCATGCAACACAGTGGAATAACACAAGAAAAAAAATCATTAACTTCATTAACCAGTTGAGAATAATAAAAACACAGTGGCTCTCACATTTTTTTGAAAATGTAACCAAGCTATACTGTGAAACTCAGACATCACATGAGAGAAAGAGAAAGTTACAGAAGAAAATGTTGTGTGGGGAACTCAATCTCTGAAGTACTGTTTTTACAAATCTTAGTTTAGTTTCGTTTAAGACTGTTAAACTAGTCTCTGTCACTGAAACTACACAGATACAAAAAACCTAACATTATAATTCAATGAATCCAATTCATGAAACACAGTGGAATGACACAAGAAAAACGTACTGAACACTCTATATATGTATATGTATATGTATATGTATATGTATATACTTTATGTATATAAATATTTCAAATTCATTCTCTGAAGTACTGTTTTTACAGATTTTAGTTTAGTTCCATTGTCAAACGGTTGAACTGATATCATTGCTGTCCATTCTGCAACAACACAGAGGCCAAAACCTTGTCTATAGTCCCTTTCCTCATGGAAACATACAGAACTAAGTCTGCAAGAGCACTCAGGCTAACAAATATGACATACAGGTTTCTGAAGGTGGCATTACTTCTTGCTCCCTCTGCTGGGAACCAAATGATTGTGAACAGAAACAGCAGCGTGTAAATAAGCAGCCCCAGAACCAATATTCCCACAATTTGTCATTTTTCATCAGGGATTTGAGGGTCAATTTGTGGGACTTTAGAATCAAGCTTGAATAAAACAGTAAGAGAAACAGTCCAGACCACAACGCAGAGGTCTTGATGGTTCGTCTGAAGTGGTACCACAGTGAGCAGGCAATGACCAAATACCTGTAATACAAGACGGAGCTTCAGAATGATACAGTAATATAATGGAAGTAGATACACACATACTGGATAGACAGATTGTGTAGTGAATATACTTTATACAGATGGGTTTACTTCTTTTCCTGTTTTATTTTGTAAGATTCCTCCTCCTGTGTTTAATTATACGTCTAATTAGTTTCCCCTCACTATGGTATATATGGCCTGTGTTTCCCTCACTTAGTGCTAGTTTGTCTTTTGTTGTGTTGCTCTCTTTTTGCTCCCTTGTGTTTCCTTATTTTGTATGTATTACTTCCTTGGTTTTTGTTTTTTCTTGGATTTTGCCCAGTAAGATTTTGTTTTACTTTTATTTATTTATTTATTTACTTTTTAATACTACTAGGTAGGTAGTATGAGGTAGAAAAACAATGCTAGCTATGCTCCACCTACTCTTTCTCCTGAATCTGTCACTTCAGCCTCCTCTGATTCCCACTCAGTCAACCTGCAGCTTGTTAATCACCAGCATGCTAGCCTTCAGTCTGTTAGCCTCCAGCATGCTAGCCTTCAGTCTGCAACTCGGCCTGCTAGCAACCAGCCAGCACTCTAGTTAGGTAAGCTTGGATTTGTGAGCCTTCCTGTCTTGATCCGGCTAGCTCACCACCTGCCAGTCCTGAACTGGCTAGCCTGCTGCCTTTCTGTCCTAAGCATGCCATCCACATGAAGATGTGGATGGCATTTAAGGAGATAACCTGACATTCAAGAGTCACCTTTTGAGGGCACTCACCTGGCCATATTTACAGGGTCCCCTGGAGGTCACCGAAAGGGACGTGGCCGTTATGGCTCCTGTTGCTCGAGTCTCGGCTGCCCAGCACTACTGAGCTGCCATCTGCTCCTGGTTCCCCATCGTCGGTCCGACAGATGCCTGCTCCTGGTTCCCCGTCTGTGGTCAGGCAGATGCCTTCTCCTCATTCCCCATTGGCAGACACCTTTTTCTGCTGAGCTGCAGAAATGTAGCCACTGTGTTTATCATAGTACCAACAATGTTAACACACAGGACCTCAACAGATAGGATAAAGAGTTAGACTTCAGGAAGTAGAGGAGAACCACAGGTCTTTCTTTGTCAGAGGAGACAGTTAAGTAAGGGATGTGGTTCTTCCTGGACACTGCTCTGTGGAGGATCGTGATCCTGGGCGCAGGCGATATAGTGTTTTCCGTGAACAATATAAACTGAGATATTTAAATTATTAGTTAGATCAGTTTATTAGAATATCAGACACTTCACGTAGCTGTACAGTACAGTTCAGCGATAAGTTCATATGTTTCAAAAAACAGCCAATGAACATACAAGTCATCATGATATACCCTTCCACACACACACACACACACACACACACACAACAACAGAAAGACTGTCAATAGATTGTAAATAAAATGTTAGCATACTTCCAGTTACAATTGTTTTTCTTTGGTTGTTCTCCAAGTGCTCAGTATCCTTATCATTTGCAGTCCAGATGTATAAAATTCAAAACAGGAAACTTCAGATAGCAATAGCACCAAACATGACTGCATGAGCATATGCAGATACTGGATGTAGTGTGGACACAAAAGAATAATGATACAGTAATTCATCTATATTTCTGAAATACATTTATATAATTGCATAATGCATATAATACTAAAGATAATACAGTACAGTATAAAATGATTAAGGCTGAACAATTTTATTTTAACTAAGATTTTGAAGATTTCAGATTATAATGTGGAAGTAAAAAAAAAACCAAATTTTAGTAGACAATCATGATAAAGCTTAATTTACAACTATCAAATGTTCAAAAACTATCTAGATCTAACAATGATTTGATTTTTATAGACAGGATGTAAATGTTTTGGGACTCCAATCTGTCACCCAAGTTCAGTTATATGACAACAAAATTAAAGCAAAACAAGCACCAACTGCTTTCATCCAGTGTTCACTCTTTCAGGCACAATACATCACAGTTCTCCAGTGAAACAGTTTGTCCTTAGGTTTTGGACCAACAGAGCAATGTAAACACATTGTATTTGATTTTCTCAATGGGGCAGTTTTGTGTTCCAAAGTCATGACACTCCCACACTGACAGAATGGCAGTACACAGTGTAGAATAAACATGCATGGCCACTCTAATAAGTATATCACTTCCTCTTGTTCTCAAAACGTTTCTGTCTCGCAGGAAATTGAAAAGTATCGTATGTGCTGATGAATGTGGCTCAGTCTCTGTGTCCTCCTCACTGCTGATCTGGCTTTGTGTGCAGGAGTTAAGTCCTGATGTCTGAGGTAAAACAGGTATTTGTGTATTAATAAGATGACTGTTCACTGCTTTGCATCTTCAGTCACTGCCCTCCACAGTTGTTGGCAGTAGAACAGATCAGAATGTATGTTTTGTCCTTGTAGCAGCGACAAGAAAAATGAAATAAGAAACAAATTCCCACGTTTGATAAGAGACCAGGTCTGGAATGACATGAGGAAGGGCCTTGAGATTTGGAGGATGAGCCAAGTGAAACCTATCGCTCAGACTTGACCTTGTAGCGGAGGACAAGGTAGGTGGCCAGCCGTAGGATGATGAAGAAAATTCCCAGGACAATGAAATCTATGTAGAGCTTTGCGTCTTCCACATCCAGTAACTGAAGGACCTCTTCAGGCTGTTGGAACTTACACACCTTGCTTGGACACTCCAGCTCAGAACGATTCATCCCATAGATGGACAGGATCACCCCTTCAAAGCCGTACCTGTGGGACACATACAAACACTGATTGCAAATAACAAAGTAAATAATCCCTTATTCTGAGTCAAAATAGCAACAAAAAAAAGACTACAATAAGGGCTATAGAGTGTGTCTTAAGAGGTCAGGGGGTCACCTATAAAATCGTCTATAGGTACCATATCCTGCCAGTAGCTTTGGTGTCATGGTTTGGAAACTTTTCTCTAAAGAACTGGGCACCCTGGTGGTCATAATGTTCTGCAGGCCCATAGCAACAAACTGCTCTGCACTGTGTGGTCTGACACTTTTCTATCAAAACTCGCATTAACT